ATAGAGTGCCACTGGAGATACCATAGTGTCATCAAAGGCTTCAGCAGTAGCTGCAGCACGCCGAGCTGGAAGGGATGCTGGGGGAGAGAAGAGGTCTACCAGTGATGTAGAGAGCCTTTTGCTGGCAGGTGTTGAGGTCCCTGACCCGGTCTTCTTCTGTACAATTGAACCTCCTTCAGCGGCCAAACAGCAAGGTACAACGTAGCTACCTAAGAATATGATAAGATATTCTGCAAAAGAGATATTCAGGTAAAACCATATTCTCTTATGTAAGGAACAAGGCTTGTTCCCAATCCATGCACACCTGATTGACGTGTGTTGCACAAAATCATCAGTCAGTGATCTAATAAGGCCCGTTTTGGTGTTTTGCACAGATAATACATTTTAGGTCATGGTTGTCAGTACCCTTTGCTATTACTGGGCCAGGCAGTACTAGTACTTTTCTGGGTTTTGTGTCTAGAAAAGAACTGCTCAAAGGAGATACTGACTTACTCTCTCCTTGCAGTCTTGACACTTGATTCCCTATGGAAAAGTAGTACTTCATTTTAAAATAAGAGATGAATCACTTTCATTTCCTACTGTCATGCTTAGTTTTGCTGCAGCCATGCTGATGTGTGGTACATAATGTCTCAAGTACAAATAAACCTGAAATGTGGGTTGGTTTTTTCAGTCAGCACTTGCAGTTTTACTCTACAGTGTAAAATTTTCACTTACCAAGACATTTGTGTGTCTAGTTAGGGTTCATCCCTGCAGTGTGACTGGTAATCTTACTGCCTTTCCCAAGAATTTATACTAGAGAACTAGATTTCACTCTTGGGAGATACATACTTTAAAACTCTGTCTTTATTCTAATGAAGCTGAGCTTGGTTGGGGGTGAAGAGGAGGGAAGGGTAAGTACCAGTGTAGCATGATGGAATCAAACAAGGTAGAACACAGATTTGGAGCAACATGACTGCAGGCTGAACCACTGGGTTATAAGATGTTTCCAGTTTGGGGAGGTTTGGATGTTTTGGTGTGTGGTTTTTTGGTTGGTTCTCTTTCGGTTTTTTTCAAAGCCTGTAAGGTAGATAAATGCAGTCTCATCTGTGAGGTTATCATTCTGTAGCTGCTTTCCTCAGCAGTTAAGATAGTGGGAAATCAGAAAAAAAGAAATTGGCATTTGAACCTTTTCATGCTGAACTTGAACTTATCTTGAAGTATTTAGGCAAATAATGGAAGAGGTAGTTGACTATTTTTTCCTATCTGTAAAAAGGGAGCATTACTTCTTACTGACTTGATGAAGCACTTACAGGTTTCATTCTATCTTCATACAAGTATAAAATATCACACTGAAAATGGTATTTTTAATAAACACTCTGTACTGTGCAGTTCATTTGTTGGAGAGAATCAGAAGTTCAAAGTTGCTGGTAATTTAAGCTGACTGCCAAAACCTGTGCTTCTCTAGGGTCCTTTTGATTCTTTCTGAGAATAAGATTTGACCTTATGAGGAAGGTGATGTTTAAACATTGATTCTCAAACTACTGAAGTCTTTTTAAATACTATGTTTGTTATTCATGTACAGACTTGGATAATGCATTGAACTGCCTTCAGCGTGAAGATCCAAGTTTAAAAGTGAAGGTGGATCCTGATACAGGACAAGTAAGATGAACCTTTTATTGCTCAGCTTATAACCAAGCTTTATTTTATAAAGTCAAGACCATCCTTCAGTTAGTTCATTTACACATTGAGATTTTCTTGAATAAAAAGGGCTCTCTAATTGTTCATACCATATATGTACCAAGTTCTGTACAACAAAATAAAATGGAGTCTTGTGCACTTATGCATTACAGAGCAGAGGGAAGTCATCTTGTGCGCTGTGTATTTTTGACAGTTCTGTATTTTAAAAGTTTGAATTAGTCTTTAAGGTAATGTAAGATAACCTTTTCTATAGTGGTCACAGTAGTGATAATTATTCTCTCACATTGTGTTTATATCAAAGCCTAAAGCAGTCCCGTTTTCTCTTAGAATTTGAAATATTTCTAATAGACTATTAAGAGCGTGCAAATCCTTGCTTAAACAGTTTGTATTAAAACCTACATTTTTCATGTTTTTCTTCTTCTCTCAACTCTCTTACTAGACTATTCTTTGTGGCATGGGAGAACTACACATAGAGATCATTCACGACCGAATCAAACGTGAATATGGAATTGAGACTTATCTGGGACCTCTTCAGATAGCATACAGAGAAACCATCCTAAATGCTGCCCAAGCTACAGGTAAAATCAGTGTATTGAAGGAACATCTTGTTTCTGGTTTTATAGCTTGATTTACTTTAAATGATATTATGAGTAACCTTCAGATGTATTTTATGTATTAGGTTTTTTTCTCAAATGTTTTTTTCACTGTTTTTTTTTTCCTGCAGATATATTGGATAGAACAGTAGGAGATAAACGACACTTTGTAACTTCAGAGTTAGAAGTGAGGCCCAGGTTAGGGGAGAGAGCAGTGACAAAACCCATCATTGAGTATGCTACAAGTGTCATTGAAGTGCTACCCAAAGAACTCCAAGGAGCTGTAGAAAATGGAATCACGAATTCATGCATTCAAGGTAAAGGAAGTGCTATGACAGCTATACTAGACTAACATTTCTGTAAGAAGCAATTTAATATGTTCCTAGGAGGAAAAAATTCTTGGTAGCTTGAAAACTAAAAGATAGTACATACTAACATTAGAAGAAAAGGAAAATTCTGGAAATCTGAAATCTCTAACAAGGAGGAAGGTATGGGTCAGCATTCCTGTGTGTCTTTTGGAAAGGCAGGTAATGACAAAAATCAGAAAATGAGGAACAAGACCAGTAGTCATGCTCTTGAGGGGAGGAAGAGGAAGGGGAGGGGAAGAAGGGGAGGGGAAGGAGGGAAGTGAGAGGCTTGAAATTTATCCTGAAACTTTTTTCCATGTGTCTTAATATTCTGAAAAACAAATGTCCTTTTTTTCTGTTTCTCTTTTTTCTTCTCTTTTTTTTGTTTTCCCCTAGGGCCCTTGCTTGGATTCCCAGTTCAGGATATTGAAGTGACAGTGCAATCACTGACAGTGCATCCTGACACCTCTCACACAATGGTATCGGCCTGTGTCTCCCGTTGCATGCAAAAGGTACAGTGAAATTGTAAGCTGCTGTAGAACACAATTACCTAGTAACTATTCCTCTCTGACAGTGTAATAATGCATTTTCTGGGGACTTCATAGCTTTTGAAAATAGAGAATTTGAGAGGGTATGTTAGCTTGAGTTATGCAAGTACTTAGGTTAATCTTCTGGGGGAAATTAAAAAAGGAGTCAATATAACTCTCCTTCTTTTCCATGTAGGCTTTGAAAAAGGCTGGTATACAAATACTGGAGCCCTTGATGAACCTAGAAATCACAGTCAGTGAAGATCATCTCAGCGCAGCACTCGCTGACCTTGCACAGCGGAGAGGTAGTATTCAAGAAATACAGAGTCGTCAAGATAACAGAGTTGTGGTTGCTGCTGTTCCACTAGCAGAAACAATGGTATGTGATTATCTTATTAATGGTAAAATGCAAATCTGATCTTTTTTTATATGCTTAAAAATAATTAGGCTGCAGTTCACTTTTGTTGTTGTTACGGATTAGTAAGTTCAGAGTGAATGTGTTTAACTGTGTTTTAATTATTGGAGGTGTGAAGCAAGTGCGCACAAATCAAGTAGTGTTTTTGATACAGATTGTTAAACCAGTGTTTTCAACTGTCAGATAAATAGTAAATACTACTAAAACAGGTTTTAAAGAGAATACTTTTTAAAGAGTATATTATTAGGTTGACTCATGCATATACTGTACTTTCAATACAGTAATATTAAAAAATTAGCCTACTACTACTACATTTCTGCTTTCTACTAGTAAATTTCTGACTGTCTCCCTCTCTCTCCATGACCTAAGCAACTTTCTATGCTAACTTATCTTTCCTTTATCATAAACTGAGTAACGTGTTCTTCATTTTGTCCAGGGCTACTCAACAGTTTTGCGTTCTCTAACATCAGGCTCAGCAACCTTCACTCTCGAGCTTGCCAGTTATCAAGCTCTGAACAGTCAAGAGCAAAGTGCACTTCTTCAGAGGAGGGGGTTAGTGTGATTGCTGTACTCTAACACAAGATATTTGCTATCTTCCCTGTTAAATATTTTCAGGAGTCTATTTGTGTACACCAGTATGTTCTTCTGGGACCAAGTGGTCATGGTAAATGATGAATAAGCAGCTTTATGATCAGACTGTGCTTTTAACTGTCCAAGGGAAGTGTGTTCTTCTGGCACAGCCTTGTAATTGCAAAGCAACTGAACCAGAGATGCAACCACAATTTGCTTGTTTGCAAGTTCTCATCTTACAGATACCTGCAATGAGAAATGATGCAAATCCTCTTCATAGAAACGAGCAATAAGTGCACCTTAATGTGCCATTAAGACTGTTTCTTACCTTAGTAAGTGAAGTTTGTGAATTTCGTATTTATAAATTAACTAACTTCATAGTTCTGGATGTCTGTATCTTGCTTTGCTTTTAGCTGAATAAAATATAGTTAATAAGCATTTAAAGTTGTACAACTGTTAAGTATTACTTCTTGTATTGTTAGAAACGAATTTGAACCAGAGTTCAGGACTGAGTGTAACTTCTACCATTGCTTTACCAATTAAGTGGAATGGATGTTTCTGTCAATTGAGTAAGATCTGTGCAAAAAATACAATAAAGGCAGAGTTTTCCCAGGACAGTGATCCCTACCTACCACCTTGAAGTAGGTTGAGAGGATTTTTTTTGACCTTTAAGTGATTGAAGCTGTAATGTTTCTGATTTGCCATTATCTGGTTACACAGAAAAGTGACAAATAAGATACGCTGAAATAAAAAGTTTGTTCTTTATTTAAATAGTGTCTTAGCTTCATTCTCCCTCAACTTTAGAATGTAAGGAAACTGGAATTGGTAACTACAGTATCAAGTTTCAGGATCTCACAGTGAAGAATCCCTGTATCTAATGAAAGCTAAAACACATCATTTCTACTCCAAAAAGCATGTCAAATGACTTTATTTTAAAAGTTAAAGTTTTAAGTCTTGGTTAAAATATCAAACTGCATGTACATATATTCAAACTCAGAGGCACTTCAGGTTGTTGACTGGAAATCCTTGCTGCCATTACTGTCCTCGTGCTTCATGGGCACAGTATCCAACAAACACAGGTTCAGCTGCTATGCCACGGCTGTTAAAGTAAAGTGGAACGTGTATGATTATAATCAAACTGGCTGGTAGGCAGAAAGAGAGATACTGGCACTCTTTATTTTAATCTTTCTGTAAGCAAAACTACTTCCAAGAAATAACAAATGGCCTATTTAGGGAGTGAAAAAGGCTCCTAATGTACCATTGATTCTTTTTCACTTAAGTACAGTTTCCTGTTTCAATCGTGTACTAGGGTATTAGAAAACAGGTTGAAATTCAGGACTAGTTGTCTCAAAAGCAATAGATTTTTCAGAGCATCACTGAAGAGAAGTCATAACAATGGGGAAAAAATTAATCAGTTGACATTTGCACACTCCCCTGCCTCCAAACCCAATGTTTCCTTCATATGCATCTCCAGTTAAGTAATTTTAGTTCATTTTTTTGGGGGAGCCAGTTTTAGTAAACAGGATTTTTTTCCAGCTATTCTATCATAAATTATTCTGTTCTCATGTGGTGTGAAAACAAACAACTCTCCCCTGTAGCTTATGATGGTGCAGTAAGATAGTATAAAAAGATGTTTCACAGATAGTCATCATCAAAATTCTGCTTCTTGAATAGTTAAAAGCTAGATGGTACTGCTACAGGGATTTGTAGGATAATATATACTGGTGTTTAAATTGCACTTGAGAGCTGCAATGGAAGAAACTGGATAATGAAATAGCTCAGCTTAACTACTGCTTGCTCAAGTACATTTCAAGAAGCTCTCCTTCTGCTGGGGGTCTTTGAGATTCCAGTATGTTAAATGGAGAGAAATCTTTGAGGTACAAAATATCTGACAAAAACCTTAAGTCCCTTAGTCAAAGACAGGGTTGTTTTCTAGGCCTCTGGAGTATATGCCCACATTTTTGTTTCCGTTTTCCCATCACCATTCCATACAGGAAGCTGAGTTTAGATCTGAACAGCAGCTGCTGCTTTCATGGTACTATTTCATCAGCTGTGGCCTTGGGTAGGTAGAGCTACCACCATTCTTCCAGTGACCATAATCTACCTGTTAGAAATTCTACCTGCCCACTCTCACTCCCTCGTACCCAGCTGCAGAGCAAGCCAAAGTTGTTCATTCTGCTTGGAAAGGCTCCTTGGACTGCTACAACTGGCAAGGTTTTTATATACCATATATAAAGAAGTTATTAGGGACAGAGTACTCTGCCCACCCTCTAAGACTACAACAGCCTGACTGATGAAACCAGCTCTTAGAGTTTGCACAGTACTAAGGAAGCCCCATATACATGAAAGGCAACAGAACTGCAGCTCCAAGGAATGCTTATTTCATCAGTGGAAAAGGAATTGTTTCTCTAGTGTTTTTCTGGTTAAAAGCCTATATAAAATGAATCATTTCCAGGAGATTATGTTCTTTTATTAAGCTAGTCTGTCTATAACAGGCATTGTTCACTGTAAATTTATGTGCCAGCAAAGCTGTTTTAGCACCAGAAGTAGTTTAAGGAAAAAGTGTGCAACAAGTAAAGTTACTCCATCCTTAGCCTGCCCCTGCATTCTGCATTTCTTAGGCTAGTGCTACCCAGAGCAGCTGCAGTCATCTGGATCAGCTCCCTGTACAGCAGTACAAGTGCCAGCATTAAGGAAGAAGATGGAGATGCAGCAACAGTTAACCAGGTCAAGGAACAGCATAGCTTAGTTCACTGTAAAACCCAAATCCTAGAGGTACAGCCACTGTATGCTTCACTGTGCAGTTGTATCAGTGTTTTCTCTGAGCCCCACCAAGAGATACACCATCCTGTTAAGTGATAGGACATAAGTATGAGCCCTTTAATCTTGTTTTTAACATGTATTTGTTAACTCTCTCCATATATATATTTTTCTCATTCATGAGATTAACAATTTACATATAGCTATTTTCCTATAGCATTGTTTTAAGCCAGGTAGAAATAAACCTAACAAGTCAAAACTTACGAGAGTTAAGTCACTCAACTTGATTAATTAAAGAGTTAGTTCATACTGTAAGCTAAAAGTGATTCCGACAGATAATCATGCTAAGACATCTACAGGAACACACACAGAGCACTCGAGTTTTAAGTGCTGACTGTAACTGCCATTGTATCTTGTTCTCTAAAAAGCTGATGTGTATCTACCCTGAAATGCTTCTTCATACTGTTGGGATTTTCAATGACATCATAAACTTCTGTAAACAAATGAAATGTCATGTTGCATTCTTGCTGCAGTCCAAATTTGCAGCAGCTTTTGGAAAAACATAAGACTCTCTGACCATATACTTCTAAAAGTGGAGTCAATCTTGGACTTAAAGACCTAGAAATCACTCATTTCTACAACTGTGAACATATATACAAACACAGCACTAGCAATAGTTAACCAGTAACCTGTACAGTAGTCATAAATGAATTAAAATTCATCAGGGACTCCTTATCCACCCCTTTCAGTCCCTACACTTAGGCAATACCTGAAAGAATAGCTTGCTCATGTTCACATCTCATGCAAACAGCTCCATCTGATTGTGTGCTGCATGTCTTTATTATTTAAAACAACAGTTTTTAAAAGTCTACTTTTTCTTCTGTTTGTGTACTCCTCCCACATTGTCTGAAATAAGTCAATCATGGTGCTGGTTTTTCCTTTAGAGGAAACAGAGACATAGATGAGTTCTAGTATTTCACTGAAGAAAGTTAATGAGTTCTGCAAATGTTGGTTGCAGAACTGTCTAGAACTCCTGTCTTAACGTATCCATTCTTCCTCTTCTGAGGACACAAAAACACATGGAGTGACATTTACATAGTCAGATTAGACTGCTAGCAGTCCTCTCTTCATTTCCAGGCCAGTCGTTTAGGCTTGTACTTGAACTCCAGTGGTTATAAGGCAGGAGAACCAAGCTTTTACTATAGTTTTAATCTTACCGGAGCATGCGGCATCGATGACTAGTCAGTCTTTTATAGGCATCCTGCAAGTTGGTCACGTTTCTGCTGCTCCAGAGTCTTTCCCCTACAGCACTTGCTCGAGGCCTGTAAAGATATACTGAGTTTTAGTAGGTATGGTCTGTAATGAAGAATGGATTAAAGTTTTTAATACCACGTCTTATATATCCAGAAGCATCAATTTTTATAGCTACTCAGATGCAGCACAGATCACTGTTACACTAACATACAGTCCTGTTGGATTAATTAATGCTCCTTGTAGCTGGCTTTCTAAAATCTAATAGTAAAGCAGTTCATACCATAATCTTGGTGTGAGGTTAGTTGCATCCACAAATTCCCCCCACAGACAGGCTTCTCCACCTATTAAAAGCTTTTTCTGTTTTTCAGTTCCTGAATTCAAAGCAGAAAGTTAGAATTTCTATTTGCCCAGAAGATGGGCATATATCAACAGTCTCATTTTCCAATACCAAGACAGGATTGATGTTGTTTTATCATATAAAATATCTGTCCTGAGCACTATGTTTGGTAGTCTTGTTACTGAATGCAAGAACCACCAGGCCATTTGCCCAGAGCACCCATTTCCCTTCTCTGTCAGAAAGAACATTCTGAAAACATTCCTCAGCCTTCTGACATTCTTCAGAGATCTCAGTCCTGACTGAAACTGTTCATTCTATCACACACAGAACATTCCTTGAAAAGGCTATGAAGTCAGGTGTTCATCCTAATCAGCTCTAGAGCTACCTTGCACAAAACGTTTGTATCAGCTTTAGCCAGAAAGAGAGAACAAGCCTTCTGACAACAGTCTAACACTCTAGAAACTTGCTAACATACAAATTCCATGTCTGCTAACTGACATTGGGTTTTGCACAACTCTGCCCCTAACAGATGATGCATTTGTGAACCTAGTCCAGCATCCCGTCTCACACAACCACTGCCAGATGCTTGAAGAAGGTAACACTTTTCCTTGCAAGAAGTGTAAAGTTGCATTTTTTTTAATTTGAGAATTTTCCAGAGTTCTTGCTGATGTTGAAGTCCTTTGATTACAGCATATCTGATTATAGTAACTGCATGACCACTCTGAAGAGCCTTATTTTTTCTATTTACATCTTACTATGAACCAAAGACTTTCATGCACAGAACATTTGTATAAAAAGTAACAAACCAGGGAAGTTAAGCGGTTCAACACTGTAGTATTTCTTCCAGTCTTGCCCATAACTGATGTAGTCTAAGTACCAGGGAGCTGCCAGGATAGCAGTGAACCCAGCTCCAGTGACACTGCTCAGTTCATGAGCATAGTTGTTTTCCATCCACACTTGAACTACAGTGTCTGGCTTGAGCTAAAAGTGGGAAAACCAAAAAACTCTAAACATTAAAGAATTCTAATTGCTGTTATCAGGAAAAAGGATGATGGATTTCAAAACAGGAAGTGTGGTATTTTGTTTAGAAGATAAACATTTTGGAAGCTACCTTTAGGGGTTTTTTTTCCCTCCCCCCAGTCAAAAGCTGATTAACTTTTTTTTTAACAAAGCTCACCCTAGAGTGAAGCCTAGGTTATACGATAGACAGTTAATGCCCTAAGAGGGTTCCTACATGCACCTGTTATCTCCAGCTCCAAAACCCTTACAACCTGGTATCACTAGACCAGCTGCAAGTTATGTAAGGAGAAAAAAAAAACAAACAACGTGGAAATTCATAGAAGGTTCCCTATCCTTTACTCTGATGCTCTAAAGCATATTATATTACCTGTGTTCACCTTTAGAAAGCACTTCAATGCTAATGCCCCTGTTCCACCTGGTTTACATGTTCAATAAATGATAAATTCAAGGCGGGCTCCACACCAGGGGAGACTTGCTAAAGTCAGCAGACTTGCTTTAACTCTCAAGAGACATAATCGTAACTACTTAGTAGTCTACTTCAGAAGCCTCCCACATTATTGTGCTGTTACGCAAGAGTATCTTATTTGTCTTCCCATCTCACCTGCACTTTGTTATCAAACACTTCTTGCCAGACCATGTATTCTTTGTTATAGGAGAAAACAATGTCCAAAATCCTAGAATTCAGAAATAAGTTTGTGTCTGTGAACTTCAATGAGATCAGTACAGGCACAAAAAGTAGCAACATTTTCTACCCTAAGGCACACAGGCCTTTCTTAGTACTGTATAGGTGACCAAGAAAAAACAGGTTTCTCTGCTTTTGGTCTTCAGTGCTCTGCTTCAAAGAGCATGTTCTCCCATGTATAAGGAAATGCACATGAAGTAACACAAGCAGATGTGCAGAACTACTAGCAACTCATACAGATGTCTAAATCCATATTGGTAAGAACAAGAGAAGTAAAGACCTGCAAAAATCACAGGACTTTTCCACCCCACCCTGTATGCTGATATTCCATTGGATCCTTGGTTTAAGATACCAAATACATTCAGAGTATATATAGAACTAGTCTACATAACCTCGTGTCCCACATTTTAAAGATGAAAATTTTACATTCAGTGTATTAAAATAAAAGAAAGTGGGTAGCCCCCAACACATGGCAATTTTTGAAAACACTATAGGCTAACCTCAGTCAGCTTCAGTACCTGCACCTCAACACCACCCTCAGATAGTGGCTGTGAAATGCTGAGCAAGAAGTAAAAAAATAACATACTTCTGAATATAGTAAGATTCCAGTTTAGCATAGTCAGTGCCAAATCCTTGCTTCTTCATAAACTCTTTCACTTCAGGGTTAGATTTCCTTAAAAACAACAAAATAAGTAAAAAAAAAAAAAAGTTTGTTTTAAACCAGATTTCCCAGCCATTTCCACCTATGCACAGCACACTAGCTGATGCCTTATGCACACCATAGCCTGGAATGCAGAACAGAGCAGAAGCGGCAGGCTAACGTGATTTAGGTATTTTGTAACAGTTTCATTTCAATTTGAAATAAAGCCAATAGTCCTACTTCTCTGGTAGAACTACTGGAGTCCCTGTTCTGCAACAATCTCTGGCAGGCAGCCTCAAACTCTTAAGAGCTCTGGGGTTCCTGTTTTTTCTATGACTTTGTGGGAAGATTGCCAGCAGGTCTGGAAACAGAGAAGCCATAGTACAAGGGGATCTCCAGGAATTAAATCAAGAATTCAGGAAAATACCCCAAAAGCAAACCAACACTTTTGTGATAAAGCATTTGTCAGAAATTTTCTTTCTTTTCAAAAAGTAAAGCAAGTTATGAGTGTTCAGATTTGATGTTTCAAGAGAACACACAAATACTGACTGGACCAGTCTGAATACTCATCCAATTAGATCTGCTCCAAACTCTGTATTTTTAGTTACTCTAGCAGACTCGAAAGTATTCAAAATCCACAACTCACTTAAGTACTCTATTAAAACATTATATACTTTTAATACAAGCACACAAAAGTCAGTGCTGTAATACTTAATGTTAACATATTTTCTGGAAGGCAGAACTCAATGGAAAGAACCGCTTTTCCTTTAACACAAAGCATTTAAATGTTAATTATCTTACACAGTACTTTTCTACCATACTAGTTCTCCTTCCTGCCAGGTTTCTTTTCATAAAGAAATCCTTAAGAGTACCTGAACATTTGTGAAACTACTAGTCAAAGCAAAATTCTGCACATCACTTGCTTTCTGAGGATCAGAAATGTTCTGCCTGTAAATAGTTACAGAAGTACGAGTAGAGATCCTTGGGTTGAGCAGTGAAAACTGACACAACTGAGTTCCATAACTGATGGATTTATGCAAGTGTAAGAGGCACTAGATATTTATTGTTTTGTCACCATACCAACAATCGAAGTTCACTTCATCTCCTCCCAGATGAATGTATGCATCTGGAAATACACTACTGATCTCTTTGAAGAATTTAGTCATGAAGTCGTAAGTTGTATTCAAAATGGGATTCACCGGTCCAAATGACCCAGTTGGCCGTTCTCCACTGTAACAAGGGGTGAGAAGATCTTTTTGACCTAACAGAAACAATTAATAAAGGATATTCAGTTCCATGTTGGTATGTTAACTCTGCTAGCAGGAAGAGGCAGTTATCCATATTAAAAAGGTTAATATTAATGACAAGTGCTCATCCATTCTAAGTATAATCAAATAGAGACAGCATGAAATAAAACAACTTGCCCAAGGTTGAAGAACCCTCTAACTGGAAATCAGTACTCTGACTTTTAGATTTGTGATTTAACATATGCTAATTTATGGAACACATCACTATACCTGGAAAATAGCTTCTGGATGACTGAATAAGAAATATTTAAAGGATTTATGAAGGAAGCCAATTAAAAGGAAGCCAAATCTAATGAGTGCACTCCAGAAGCCTCTTTTCTCTTTTTATTACTCTGCTAACATCTAAGTAGGTGGGACATATATGGTTCAAGGTAGATGTCCCACCTCAGTCTGCTAGGAAGCTACCTCTACACAAGAAATAAACCCTAGACAGATATCAAAACTAAGCACTGGTTTTTGAGTCAAGGCATCTGAAGCAAGATGACCCAGGATAACAACACAGGAAAAAGTTGTATGTAAGTTGGAGACTCCTAAATCCGGTTTATTTGGTAAAATGTGCTTGCAGCAGCAGCACCATCTTCCTGGCTGTGTGTTTCCTACTCTGAGTATATTTCTCCCAAACAGGGCCTGGGTGGCAGATTGCTCCAACTACCCATCTTGCATGCCTTAAGACTTTTCTCCAGTGTCTTTAATTTTAATGCAAACAAAGCATAGCTACCCTGGCTCACAGGCAAAGCCAGGATTCAGTCCTGTGCATCACATTAAAAAAAGCTATTTGGAACAATTAATTTTAGGCAAGGGAGCTGAACCTTGCTCTTTATATGAACACAGACTACCTCATATATCACCAGGCAAGCCACTGGCTTTCATTAGTGCTCCATAGCAGCAAAGACCACGTGAGATGAAGAATTCAGAAAAAGCATTTAGCAAATTTATAGTCTTTGCCTTGTTCCTTTCTTCTTCATTTTAAAGTAGTGACAAAGAATCTAAGGGCATCTTCCAACATTATGGCCACATCCCTAGAGGATGAGCACAAGACTCACTCTATGGCTAAAGCTAAAGCTTTGAAGTGCTAGAAAAATCTTTACCATTTCCAGCTTGGCCAAAACCAGCTTACATTAATTGCAGTGAAATCACAGCCAGTGCACCTCGAAATAAGGCACAAGGTTCCCTAATCCTTGAGTACAGGTAAACACCACCACTCTCAGGATTCAAGAATTCTCTGTCAAGAGAATTATTACTCTGAAACCCAGAAGATAGAGAGCAAAGAAGCTATGTTGTGAATCCAATTTTGCTGTGCATTGTACACTGGCAGATTACCACTTTACTAATAGACAGAAACATCAACCGCTTTGAAAGAACCTTCCCAAAGCAGAAATCTCTACAGACAGCAACTCACTATTTCTACCCACTGCCTTATTACTCTAAACTTGAAGAGTACTGACTGGGGGGTTAACAACAACATTAAATTTAAGGCAGAGAGAGTATATCTGTGCCTTCACACAAGCATCCAGCACAGGAAATGTCAGCTTTCTCCATTCACTTTAGCGCCTTTAAAACATAAAGGTCGTGACCACTGAGTCTGCACCTTGCTTACCTCTTATGAAGGGCCTTTCAAAGCACTTCAAAGGCTGCTTTTTAACAAGTTCATTTGCTTACTACACCGTACTTACCACAATCTTTTAACCATTAATACTTTTTTGGACATACCTTTTCCCCAAGATTGCGTGTGTCCTGGGGTATCAAACTCCGGGATAACTCTAATACCTCTTAACCGGGCATACTCAATCACCAGACGGACGTCAGTAGGCGTATAGATGTGGTTACAGGAGTATGCTCCCTGTAAAGTATTCACAAAATTATTTTTTATATATTTTTTTAAATAAAATTATTTATTTATTACAAAAAGTTATGTCGGGACCTCACAAAATTGGCATTAAAGTGTTACAATTTAGACTGGAGAGCAGTTTTACAAGTTGGCCTTTTGTGGTTTATCACAAGTGCAACTGCACTGACAGAACTTTTCGGCTGACTAGAGGGGGGGAAAAAAACCCCCAACAAAACAACAAAAACCCACAAAAGTTAAATCCTTTTTCCACACTAAGACAAATCTCCTGAGGAGGCTGTCCTTTCCTTCTTAGTTTACAGTTACTGAAGAGAAAAGCTAGTTTCTATTCCATCAGATTTTGGAAAGATACATTTTCAGTTCTTCTGTACAGAGGCAAGTTAATTTTTCCCTCTGCCTCTGCATCATTAGTTCTGAAACATAGGGCCTTTGTTACATGACATGCAAGACTAATGGAAAAATTTGGCCAAGTCAGAAATAATGGTGTCTTTTTTCAACACCTCTGCTTGTCAGTTTTGATACAATGCCCAATTTAGCGTATGTTTGTTTCATGACACTGAATTTGAGCGTTCATGACACTCGCACACAGCCAACAAATTTGACAAATGACTCAAGGATTGCTACAGTTTGATGAAACAGATGCTTGCTAGATGCTTGCTAAAGAGCCATACTACACAAGAAAAGCATTGTGACTCCTCATGATTAATAGCACCATAAGCTTCCATTTATCCGGAAATGGTTTCCACAGCTGAGTTACTCAAAAAAGATAATGGTAAACAAGAAGCCTTTCAGAAAGAAGGCTCTTGAGACAAAAACCATCTCCTCCTCTCCATCTGTCAGTGAGGAATAGGACAGAACTTCACAGACACTATTAGGAAGAATAATGTGACTGTACCACCCCAACATCTATCATACAATTTCTGAATTATAAAATTCATCATGGCATCTGCTCAAGCACTGCCTACATAATTTTTATGAGGGTCAAATTCTAGAATGCTTTTTAAAATAGAATCACAAATCTTGTGCTCAGGCTCAGTCTACTTAATTATTGATTTGACTACTACTGTATCATAACAGAGCAAGAACCTCATGACGGCTTTCATTAATTAGCAAAATCTTGGCGAATCAGGAAATAAAGACATACATTGCACTGTATTTGTTTTAGAAAACAACCTCTTATAGGTATATTGTGTTTTGTAAAGTTAACTAGATCTCAGACAGAGCAGAAGTACTACTGCAGTGGTTCCAAACTGAGAGCTGACAGGAAACTCTTACATTTGTTTGAGTGGCAGGAAGTTAAACAAACCAACCAACAGAAATCCAAGCAGTGTTTGCCACAACAGGGTATTTGCACAACATTATTGCTTGAAGACTGCAAACACTGAGGATCACTGTCACCAGCAAATTTGCATGGAAGAGTGAGGAAGGTCATTTACCATGCATCCACCAAGGAAGATCCAAATATGATCCACCCAGACACTCAGGTAGGATCCTAAATGTGGACTTGCTGGTTATTGGTACTCCGGTACTGCTTCACAATCAAGGCAGATGTATTCAACCATAGTTAGACACTGCATTTTATTTTCATGAAATATGTGCCAGATTTCTGCCCTCCCACCCTGCTCCAATGATGTTTACTCACCTTGTCACTTAACTCAGGGAAATAAACACTCTGGTAAGGGAATGACTGATCATCTACTATATGCCAGTGCAGAACATTGAACTTGTTAAAAGCCATGGCATCCTGTAACAAATAATGCAATACAGTTTATTTAAGCACTTGACTCTCACAGAAAGCCTATGCAAAATGTGGTGTTGTCCCAGTATACGTTGCATGCCTAAAGCAACAACAACAAAGAAAACCAGAGGAGAAGTGTACCATAGAAACACAGACAAAAACGCACCACCCTATTTATATAGTTGTTCCATTTCCCTGCCATTTATTTGCACCACTTCTGTAACATGCTCTTGATCTGACCAGGCTACACTGGCTGGTAGAAGGGAAACTGCTATTAACACTTTTTCTTCCACCTCAGAACATACCCAGGTAATGCTCTGTGCACTATCAGCTACTTCAGCTTACAGAAAAGCTTATACTTTTCTACTAAAATACTTTGGACACAAAAACTAAATAGCATGAGAGAGTTTCCTACTATTTAGTACATCCCTACTTCCGTGGTTTATTTTGCATGCATTTGAAATGTATTCTGTGGAAGTCACTAACATTTTCCCCACAAGATAGTGTTCCCCTTATGTTTCCAGTCACTACAGTTTCAGTACTTCCCTTTTTTTGAGCTTGAAGATAATCAAGATAAATGTTAACACATTTATTTTAGAATTATGGCAGTTACACACATACCCCAAGCTATGTAAGTGTGTTAAGAGTCATAGAAGTGGTATGTACTGCGAGCAGACAGGGTAAGTATTCTCTACATTGCTTGTCACTGAGTAATTTCAACACAGTTGCTTCCAATCCCTTGCCACAATGCAATTATTTCCACCAAGCTGTGTTTAAGGAAGAGACAAAATCTCTTCAGGAACTCCCACCAAATCCAGAGGAAGACTTACACCTTGTCCATTCATTATCTATTTTATTAGACAGCAGAAGTTCTAGTTAATGCATGTCTTCATGCATTTCTATCAAATACCATCTGTCCACATAAAAAATTATGTCTCCTGACCTTTATCTCAGCCTTCCTCAAGGACAATGCCCTTTCTGGAAATACAGTACCACAGCTGAACATTAAACAAGAAATGTATTTGAACTGCTGCCTTAAGCATCTAATTACCACGTATCAGTGAAGGGATTACTGCTGCTCTTTTTGAGGTTAGCCTGGATTCAAGCAGGCACAGAGGTGGGAGGAAAAGTGCACTTGTTCTTAAACCAGCAAAATGGCATAAAATGTACTTCTGGGAAAGTATTAACAGCCACTGACATAATTTAGGGAAATGAAACAGAATAGCAGCAGTTACAGAAACACAAAAATGGTTAGAAATGAAAGTCTCAAAAGTCAAGTTACTCTTTGGACTCTTTCTTTTAGAAAAGCCAAAAAATATTGACACAACTAACTACTTGAGTCTTTGAAGCACTCTCAGTTGCAAATAAAACACTACACAAACACTAATCCTGAACAGGGACTGATCTCAAAGGTAAAGTGGGAAATTCCCATGGAGGGGCAGGTTCATAGAATCACAGAACAGTTTGAGTTGGAAGGGATCTAGTTCAAACCCCCTGCCACGGACAGGGACACCTTCCACTAGCCCAGGTTGCTCAAAGCCCCGTCCAACCTGGCCTTGAACACTGCCAGGGAGGGGGCAGCCACAACCTCTCTGGGCAACCTGTGCCAGTGTCTCACCACCCTCACAGTGAAGAATGTCTTCTTTATATCTAATTTAAATCTTCCCTCTTTCAGTTTAAAATGGTTACTCCTCATCCTATCACTACATTCCCTGATAAGAGTCCCTCCCCGTCTTTCCTGTAGCCCCCTTTAAGTCCTGGAAGGCCTGTATAAGGTCTCCCCAAAGCCTTCTCTTCTCCAGGCTGAACAACCCCAACTCTCTCAGCCTGTCCTCACAGGGGAGGTGCTCCAGCCCCCGGATAAACTTCGTAGCCTCCTCTAGACCCAATTGAGCAGGTCCATGTCCTTATGTTGGGGTACTCCAGGTGGGGTCTCACAAGAGCATAGTAGAGGAAGAAAATCACCTCCCTTGACCTGCTGGTCACACTTCTTCTGATGCAGCACCAGGCTGCCACAGCTTCTCAAATCTGATGGACAGTGACTTAGCCACTCCATCCACCACTTCCCTCAGTACCCACGGATGCATCTTATCAGGTCCCAGGGACTTGCGCACCTTCAGGTTCTTTACATGGTCTCAAACCTGATTGGAATTCTCCTACAGTGGGCGGTTCTTCATTCTCCCAGTCCCTGCCTTTGCCTTCTGGAACTTGGGCAGCATGGCAGGAGCATTTGTTCTGAGCATAGTTCAAGGATGATGTCAGAAATTAAGACTGGTTTTACCTGCACTCCTCCTGCCCATCTTAAACATGCAAGGGAAGGGAAATTTCTAATATTATTTCATCTTGGAAAAGCAAGACAGACACAAGACAGGAAACTGCATGTTACTCCACAAAAGGGCTCTTCTATTTCAATCCACCAAATAAGCACTGCTATGTGGATTTCAACAGCAGAAAAGGGGAGTACAAAACAGAAAATCCCCCAGCTTTGGCTACTATGTTTACACAAATCCACCACATTCCCATCAAGGTGGAAGACAGAATTCTCAATGTGCTTACTTCAGCTTCTCAGAGAAAGGGATTTTTTGTGGTTTTTTTTTTCTTTTCAATGGGATGCAGTGAAAAAAATCAGTAGCTTCCAATGAACATTTCTAATTTCCCCCCTTGTTCTGTATTATTTAATTACTGGCTTGCGCTTATCAGTCTAAGAAAAGACTACCAAAGCCTCACTATTAAAAAGACTGGAATTTTCCTGCAATCACTGGCACTGAAGCTAGGACTTGCAAAGTCCCCTGTGTGTCTCTTGGTGACAGTCAGATATCTCAAAAACATGCTTCCAAGAAATACAAGAGTTGGTTTAGGTAACAGAAAATACAGAAAACCCGAGGTACCACAAATCCCATCCTCCTAGTGATTCACTAATCACCATCTGCCCACTCAATTCCTCTCTGGTATATGTTCTGACCTTCACTTAGCAAAGTTCACTCTGTCCTTTTAAAAGACAGCCAAAGGAGACAGGTTCTCCTTTCACACCAGCTCCAGTTGCTACCTACTTCAGGGGGCAAAACACAACAACAAAAAGCATTCATCATTAATGATACAAAACTGACCACTTACCAGGTTTGTAAGAATAGATTTCAATGGTAAATAATGCCTTGAAGTGTCTAGTAAGATTCCTCTATGAGCAAATCTTGGGAAGTCATTGATTTCAGTCTCATTCACAAGAAACTATGAGAACAAGATTTTAAAATTAGAATTAACATTTTATATTAATTTCAAACAAGAAATACTTTCTTTTCAGTTTGTTAACAGCTTTCCAAGGATCATTTTGTGAAAAAGTACTTAATGAAACTAGTAGATATACTGTTTTTAGAAGAGCACCTAATAAAGAACATTGTTGTTATCACGACTGTGGTTTAACTAACAGCTGTACTTACACTTCCATAGTCATCTTCATGAACCAACTGGCTGAAGGTTTCCAATCCTGGGAAAAAAAAAAAACCAAAAACCCAAGGAAGGTATCTGGAGGACAGCCCAGTGCTTGTTCTTAAAGTTTTTGTTAAAAACAGGACCATAAGTATTTACATAGCTAGAAAGAATGCTTTGTAGCCAAGTTTCGTTCTCTTTAGCACAGTTTCCTTAATTGCTCAAGCACCATAGTTAAAGAAACTCTGAAGAAAGAACCATTCAAACTCTTCACTATACACAAATACTGAATATTAGCACTACAGCTCAGCTGTACCAAATTAATACTTGAATAGTATGGAAGTTACTGAGAGTAAGGTAGGAACTTCTGGTGTCATGGATCTGTCATTCGTGTCATTTCTGGAACTGGTGAAGTTTCTAATTCAACATGAAAAATCTGCTAATTTAGACTAACGTTCCAGTAAGAACAGCAGACTGCAATTTCAGCATTATGATCGTCTTGGAGATGTGTTCAGCATGTTCAGTTATTAGATGCAGTCACAAAATAATTTGTTCACACTGTGGATCAGAGAACTTTTCAGCACCTTGGACTGGTTGGCTTGGCTGATTTCAGGTACAACTAGAGCGCATTTATGGTATGCCCCTGTCTCTGAGGTGCTAAGCATCTGGACTGAGGGTCTGACCAACACACATCTGGGTATCCTTCTGGCTTCTATGCCCAAGCTTACTTCTTTCAAGACTGAATGAGGGCAAGGCTCAGAGGTCAACTAGTTCTTAGTCTGTCATGGAGTTTGTATAAGCCTGGAGTTTGTATATATTGCTTTATAGAAAAAGTTTCAACTTACCTCTTAAAGCACCCCATACCTCATCTGCTTTCAGTATGGCCACAGGCTCAGTTACAGTTAAATGATCTAAAGGGAAAAAAAAAAAAAAAAAAAAGGTTATTCCTCAAGAAATCATGGATTGACAGGACAATGCTAACAGGCATTAAAAGGATTTTTCAAGTGCCATGTCTCCCTTTGTTTTTTAAATTCCAACCAATGCTGTTTTTAACAGTGATACTGTGCAGGTATTTTTCATATATGTACTCCCAAAATAATGCAAGCTACTAGTCAGAAAGTCAACAGTTGATCAGTAAGATGATAAAACAAATATAGGGCTTAATGATGGCAATGCTAAATATTGCATGTGGGCCAGAATTCCAGCCACGTTTAATCCAACCAATCTAAAACATAGCAGATAGTGTTTTTGCATTTAAGACACACGGTTGAATAACTATGCCAGATGCAACTGCAAAAGTTTACTTCTCCTTTTACCTTCTTGTTATATAGATTATGTTTACATTTTTTTTAGTATTACAGTTTGTCAAGTAATATTCTTAGGTGGATACTATAAAGGTTTAATTACAAAGAAAAAAAAAATCAGACCCCACCATTTAATGAGCACATGTACAGGGGCAGTGACATGAAGTAAGGTGAGTAGAATGAAGAATGGTATCCAGAGGTATCCATAACAATCCTCCCTTAAGTTTGAGTACATACAAAGTACTGGGGGTGAGGAACTTAAAGTAGTTTTGCTTTCTATTTAAGATGATTCAGTAAATTTTAATGAAGAAACAAATAAAGTACCTCAAGATTCCATTTTAACCTAAGCACAGACCGCATATACTGGAAGTTCTAGATAGAAAGATAACTGAGAAGACTCCTGCAATCTCCACAGGTTTTTCTGTGGTAAACTGAAGTTCAGTCAGGGATTTACTTCCATGACAGCAGGCTTTTTTCTGAACATGTATCATACCTTAAATGAATGCAGAACAACAAATTTCAGATGGCTATTTGGAACCTTTTACACAAGCCTACTGGAAGAAGGGCAGATAACTTGTGCTTTGATTACATATCCAATACTTTTGCTATAGGATAGTCACTGACATATCCATACAATCTCTACTAAATAAAATGAGCCAAACTGCTGAATCCAGCAAGTGACTAATAACTGCATAATTCAACATTTGTTCCACGAACAAGCTATCCTAATAAAAAGCACAAAATTAAACCTTGCTGACATCTGAAGAGCTCAGCTTACCACACGAGGAAAACTCTGTTATTTGTAACAGGAAAACTCCTTTCCTACAGTAAAGGGAAAACTCTGACTGTTTTGAAGAGTGGAACCTAAAAATCACATGGTCTGACAAGATGCCCTGACAGAAGAACCAGCTTTGGTTAAAATCTGAAGTTCACAAGGCAATTCAAAGTTCAGCTAGTAGTAAAGCAGTATAATAACCTGACTGCGGCAGAAAAATTCTAAAGCTTTAGCAGTTTTGATGCTGTACCTCATTCACATTGAAACATACAATAAACTTGAACACAGAAATTGCACTACTTGGCTAAATGTACCAAAACGATTGAGTAAACTTAAAATCAGTACATTCTATCACAAGCCAGGTAGAATTAATCCTGCTGCACATGTATAAGATCAAAAAGATCTTTTTCTAAGGATTTGTATCACGGATACCAAACAACTGCCTTGTCTACTACAGAAGATTGTCTCAAGACAGAACTAGAAGAACTGAGTATGTTGAACTCTCTGCTAACCTGCCCAGACAAAAACCAATATTATCAACTCATCCTTATTTCTGTTAAGAAACTTCTCTGGTAATTAGGACTTGATTTTAGGATACTTTTCCACCTTAAACTTCAGTTATAGAACTAAAGCAGCATAGCAAGAAAAAAAAATCGAATACAACCATCATGTTTTAAAGTCCTCCTTTCTATCTACTCATAGAAAGAAAGTGGATTTATAATACTGCAAGATGAATAACAAGAAGTTTAATGAACACTTTCTGATGCTCCTGGAAAAACAGAAAAGCCAAGTACATAGCCAATGTAGGTAGTTTCAACTGACATGTAGCTGTTTCTAAGGGGAGCAGACAAATAAGCAAAGCCAGCCTTCACTCAGCACCCTGTACTGAAAGGGTGATCTCTTGACAACTCGTAGATCTCACCATACATAACTGGGCCAGGATAATAGCTCCGATTCCTAATGATTGTTACTAGAAAGGGCAGCAGCAGGTAAATGAGTTAAATATTAGATGAACTGCAGAAATCACAGGTTACGCTTGTAAGCAGCTTCATGATTCACTGTGGGCTTGTATTTCCCACACCATTAAGAGCAAGAATTATCTTCTGAGTGCCATGGCTGTGAAATGTTCTCAAGCACCTCAGCATGATTTCCAGTTCCTTAAAAAATAAAAACCCAAACTACTGACTTTTACACTGGGTTGGAAGACAAGCGCTAAAGATGCCGTGTAAGCCGAGGAAGGAGAGAGAAAGGCGGTGACCGGCTGCGAACGGTACTCACAGGCCTCGCTGGAGGCGAGGTGCGGGTAGCTGTGACAGCCGGGGTCCCGGGACTCGATCACCACCTGCAGCTGCGACAGCTCGGGCTCCGCCCGGGTGCCCAGCGGCCTGCGACCCCGCTTCCGCCGCCCAGGCTGCCCGAACATGTACTCGTAGTACCTGCCGGGGAAGCAGAGACGCCGGCGAGGCTCTGAGGCCACCGCTCCCGCCACCAGGCCGCCGCCCGCAGCACCCCCCACCCCCGCCCCGTGCCCCTCACCTGCGGAAGGCGTCCTGCAGCAGGCCGCAGGCCGGCCCCGCCGAGGAG